ATATATATATATATATATATATTTTTAATCAGTCGATTACACCATTACATATTCAATAATTGTATTTAATAGTAGAAAATTTATTTATTATACTTATCAATATACTTTCTTAATATGTTTTTTCTGGCTAGGAATACTTTATAGCACCTTACAACTGTATATGAGAATAATCTACGCGATCTCTGTATTTTGTAAATTATCACATTCGGAGTTAGGATCTATGGGCTTTGGAAATATTTTTCAGGTAAAATGTAAAGTAGAAAAATATAAGTACTTTCATTGTATATGCAAGTATTTGTACTTGTCAAGAGATTAAAGTAGTAAAATCCGATAAATATAATATATTAGATTTGAAGAGAAGAAAAAAAGAAAACTATGCGTGTACTATATATATGCAATAAAAAGTTATTCACGAATGCAATATGAAATACGTATTTTTTTTGTTTTCGTAATTAAAGGAATCTTTTGGCATAATACTTATTAAAATAGAGATATCTGTATATATATAGATGTATATATTATATATCTATAGTTTCTTGGTATAGAATTTTTATGAACTAAGGAACAATCGGGCTTTAAAAGTCCGATATTAATAATATGATTTAACTCTAATATTGTTAAGTAACGTTAGAAAAATATGTAGAAAAAATATCATAAGGCTTGTTCTCCATATTTGTTTATATAAGATTGTTTGGCCATTTTAATAAGTTGATCGGACATAGCCCTACCTGTTTCTTTTACTAATGAAGTAAATTGACTATATTTATTTTGTAATAGTATATGTGGATGATCATATTCCTAAAAATTAGAAAAATTCATTTAATAAGTATACAAAATGAAGAAAAATAATCAATACATTTGAAATAGTTTAAAAGTAATATGAAAATAATTATTAATAGTAAAACGTACCGCCATACGACCCTTGTCCATAACCAATACTTTATCACTATCCATTATAGTATTTAATCGATGTGCAACAGTCAATACTGTACAAGAAGCAAACTTCTTTCTTATCGTATGTTGTATCAAAGCATCCGTTTGTGGATCTACATTGGCCGTTGCCTCATCGAGCATTAAGATACGATTATTTCGTAAAATTGCTCTTGACAAACATATCAGTTGTCTTTGACCAACACTGAAATTACTACCTCTATCAAGTACTCGTAATTCTAAACCATTTCCATTTCCTATTATTGCTTCTTTTAATTCGACCTATAAATAAAAAACAATTGATTAATATTCATATCAGAATATTTCTAACAGGTGTAATACAACTGAACAGGAAATGATTTTCGACTTTTTCTTTTCACAAGAAATTATTTCCTGCTCGGTTGAAAATATTCAAATATTAACTTCTTCCAAAGCTTCCCAAACAACATTATCCGTGAATTCATCAAATGGATCGAGATTACGTCTTAATGTTCCTGAGAATAAAACTGGATCTTGAGGAATGATTGATATATTACTTCGTAAATCTTCTAAAAATATAGATCCTGTATCAATATTATCAATTTCAATAACTCCTTCAACCTTTGCTAATCTGAATAATGCTGATATTAATGACGATTTTCCTGCACCTGTTCTTCCCACGATACCAACCTGTAAGAATATGATTATTGAATTATAATATAAATAAATAAAAATACAAATAAAAAAAACAATTACATGATAATATAATTGTATACCTTCTCACGTGGAAGGACCAAAAAATTTAAATTTTTCAAAATCGGTGGATCCTCATCTGTATATTTCATATATACATTTGTAAATCTAATACAACCTTGGCTAGGCCAATTCTTAGGTGCACTTTGAGGTAATTCGTTGGTAATTTGTTTGTCAATTTTCTTATAGAATTTTCCTTTATTACGTAAATTAGCTTCTGGTGGAAGTTGCGAGTATTCAAGGATACGTTCAACGGACATCATTAGATTAGCTATTTCGGCACTTTGTCGCATACCCCATTGTATCATACCAGTCATAGCCATAACTTGCGTAATTGCCAAGCCTACTTCTCCGCCAGAAAAACCTAAATACGATAATATTTATTATAATTACTATTATGAATTTTCTATTCACATTATCAAAAAATATAAATATATTTTTAGGAAAAAAACAAAAAATAAAACGAAGAAGAAGATCAAATAAGCGGAAGAAAATAATTCGTACTTGTATTCAGTAAAAGAAAGCTGAAAGTGACAAGTGATGTAAATATGAAACAAAATATATCCAAAGAAAATCCAAATGCTGTACTAGTTACAATATACATGTACACTGTAGACGTGTGCGTATCTTGAAATTTATCGAACTCCTTTTTTAATATTTCTTGTGCGCCGTATGCTCTTATTGTTGAAAGACCATTTAACGTGGCATTTAAATGTGTGAACACTGGTGATCGTGCTGTATAATCAAAATTATAAATTATTAGAATATTATTTTTCTAAATAATAAAACAAGAAAAAATAATTATAAAATAAAACTTACTCATGCCCTCTAGACGTTTAATATTCTTACTAGTTTTAAGATAAACTTTACGAATCCAATAAAATAGCGTTCCCAAAAATATTACAGGTATTAAAAACATTGGATTCACTATACATGATACTGCCAATGATCCAAACATTAGCATACATATTTGACCAGCATCTAATAAAGCCTTAGGCAATAATTCATCAATAGCTCCAATATCTTTGGAAAATCTATTAAGTATTCTTCCGCTAGGATTGGTATCAAAAAATCTCATGCTAGTTCTAATCAATGCGCTAAAAGTCATGTCGTATAAACGTTGACTGCATAGCATACACATTTTATAAAAAATTAAAGATCTCGTTATCCCAATAATGAATAATCCAAGAACAATTCCAGTATAAATATAAATATAAGTATCACTTATTCGTCCTAGTACTGCATTTTCCTCAGTGGCATTAAGTTGAGCATTTTGATAATGTATTGTCTCTTCTTCAGTAACCCTGAAGTCAAATATTTCTAATATAAATATCAATATTATAAATAAACATTTAAGATTATACAACAGACCAATTACTTACAAGATTGGAATAAAATAATCATTAAGACTTGCGACGCATTGAGTGACAATAATTAAAAGCAAGATTATGAAGGCAAGAAAGAGATTGGCACCATCTTGAAAATATCGAATAAAAATGGACCCTTTAATTACGCCCCGTGATGTTCCTTCCAAACCGTTATCAAGTGTTTCAATATCTTCGTTTTCTTCTTCGTCATCCGTACAAGCGCTACTAGCTTCTGGCGTATGGCTCTGTTGAATTAAAAATCAATTTAATTAATATATATTATTAATTTAATTTTTTAGTTCACTTATAGTTACAGGACACATATATGTAATAGTTGAAAACCTTACTCTATTACTCAATGAGGAAAATTGTCTTCGTATCGAAATCTTATCCAAGGAAGTATCTTCGCCCATCTCGTTATCTGTTGCCAATAAACTACTATATTCGGGATAATCGATCAGAAGATCGTGATAGTTTTGATACATTTTGAATTTTCCACGTTCCATAAGTATTATAGCATCGACTTCTTTTATGTATTGCAATTGATGTGTTGCCAATATTCGAGTTTTATTTGCCAAATATCGTTGAAGACATTCTTCAAAAAGATGTTTACTTATATGGGCGTCAACCTAATATTTCAATTTAATTAAAAATCTAATATTTTACTCTTTAACATGTGTTTATACTACAGTTATAAATATTATATAACTCATAATACACATCAATCTTTCTATTTTATTATAAATAAACAATGTAATGTATATTTTACCGCGCTCAAAGGATCATCTAAAAGATAAATATCCGCTTGCTTGTACATTGCTCTTGCCAAGTTGATTCTAGCTTTTTGACCACCAGATAAAGAACTTCCTCTATCACCAACGATCGTTAAATCACCCTGTGGAAATTGTTTGAAATCTCTAAGAAGGGCACAAGCTTTGACTATACGCTGATAACGTTGACGATCGTACGGTTGTCCAAATAGAATATTTTGTCTAACGGTAGAACCAAATACCCATGCCTCTTGACAAGCATAACTCACATTACCGTAACATTTCACAACGCCACTTATGATATTCATCTCACCGAGTATCGTCGAAAGTAGTGAACTTTTACCTGATCCTACCATCCCAATAACTGCATATAATTTTCCTTTCTCTAATGATAATTGTATACCTTCTAATATTGTATCTGTATGATTAGAATCCCAATTTGCAACTACATTAGTCATCGTAATTGCATATAAATCATCGGCTGTGGAAGCACGTTTATCTACAACAAAAAATTGAAATGTTTACAAATTTCAACAAATTGAAATAAGTTGCATTGTTTCTTTTTTTTTTTTTTTTTTTTTTTTAAATAAAACATTTACCACTAACAAGATGAGCGGTGTTTTTCAACAAATCGGTGGCAACGATGACCAATCCATTTTGTAAATTTGTTCCGTTATCATCAATATAATTTTCATCATTGACATCATCATCATCCATGTAAGGCAAATCTTGTCTAGATGCTCTGATCGAAGTTTGTCTCGATATAGAGGTAATACTACCGTTAGGACTTCTCGATAATTTATTACTAATAGTAATATTATTACTACGAAATTCGTCGTACATCAAGAAGTTTTGAAGTCTTTTTACTACCACAAGACATTCCGCAATTTCGGCAAAACCACGTACAAACATTCCCGACATTGATTGAGCAAGAATATTGAAGTACGATGAAAATACGAATACTTTTTCGGCAGTCAATTCATTGTGAAGCAAAATCATTGATACGAGTGTACAGTAAAGTGCCATTCTCGTGGTAAATAAATTAAAAGTCATATAAATACCACGAATAGAAGAGCTCTTACTGACTATTTGCAATTCCAATTTCCTAGCCAATTCAACCAACGCACAGAAGGGTTTTTCCCAAGCATACATTTTTATTACTTGCACGCCAGAAATAATCTCGTCCATCAGACGTACACGTTCATCGGTTTTTATAGCTGTCTGTAATCTGAACTTGGAAGACAATTTGCCGGTATAAGCTGAAACAAACATAATCATTATCAAAAAAAAAAAATTATCTGGATATATAACGATAGTCCTAAGAAAAGGAACTTTTATTTTGGGGCTTTGTTACGTCTTTGTATCTTTCTTTCTTTCTTTTTTTAACTATTATATTATTAATAACATTGTATGCATTTAACGAAGAATAGGTGTGTGCAAACGCAAATGATATTTATAACTACATGCATATTACGAAATAACGATTGTTAATTCAAAATAAGTTTACGTAAGTAAGATAGAATGTTATAAACGAAACAATAATTATTAACTTTTCTCTTCTCTTAAAGAATAAATGAAAATTAATGAAATATTACAAATTTATTTGTTTAAAATAAGATGAAAAATTACTTAATAGGAAGTAATAATATCGTAAATTTTACGGATCGTTTATTGACACCCCTATTAAAGTAAGATAAAGAATGATAAAGAAAGATAATTACAACTCGATATTGATTTCTCGTATTAGTATGCGTAGATATAGTTAAAAGAGTAATCTTATCGATCGTATATACTTACACTGAATTGGTACGACCACAAAAACTGCAGCGATGCCAAAGAGACCAGAATATCCAGCTTCAGTATAAAGAAAATAAGCAATGATTAAAGCAGAAAGTGGTGCGGACCACATATGATGTACAAAAATGGAAACAAGATCGAATCTATTAACATCATTAGCCACTAAATTGACTACTTTTCCTGGAGCAGTATCCCTCAATGCCGTTTGACTCAATCGTAATGCCTGTTAAATGCACAATTAAATCTTTTATTACAAATGATATGTATTTTAGTTTGCTATTATGTTCACAGATGCACAAACATATATATATATATATATACATATCTATTACATACATAAATTATACATAATAATTTACATACTTTTCTGTAGACTAGGGAACAAGCAGCAACTCTTACTTTAGCACCAATGTGAAATGCTTTAAATATTGTTTGATTAATTGTAATGACGCTAATTGCTGTTGCTATGCAAATACCGGATGCATATAAAAGTGCAGTTTGGTATGTTTCTCCGCTACCCTTTCTAAAATATCTTAAAAGACCACCCAATAGTAATGGTGTTCCTAATCTAATAAGGATAAACAAATACATTTCAATTTTTATATTATCATTTATCAATGTTTTTGTATGTATTGTGTTTTGTATTGTATTAAGTATAATTTAAATAATATACTCTGATAATACCTTATTACAAATTCATTAAGTATCTGTAGTAATCCTAAAAGTAAATATTCCATTAAAAAAGTACGAAATATCGCTCTCAAAAAATTCGGACTTCGTTTTCGTTTCTTCGAATTTTCCAATTCGATCTTCCATCGTCTAAAATAAATACAAAATTAATCTAATCTTGTATCTAATACTTAATCTAGGTTTATTAAAATCTTACTTACTTTTCTAATCTATCTCCAAGAATTGTAGAATGATCTTCTTTCAAGGGATCATATAAATCATCTGTTTCTAATACTTTTTTGTAGCCAATTTTAAATAAATTCAACGACCACCTAATTAGTTAAAAATACTTTTAAATAATTTGCTTTCCATTTAATTTTATCTCTTACATGTATTACAGTTGACACGACAAAATTTCACGTAAATAAATATATCAAAGTAAAATGCAACTATTTATAGATATCTTACAATTGAAACATTAAAACAAACTTAGAAAATATCAAAAAAAAAAAGAAAAAAAGAAAAAAGGAAAAAAATTGCTACTGTTCTGAATCAGCTAGAAAAAAAATATGCACAACAATTTTCTTTCTTTGCTTATTGATTTTTAGAATATTAAAAATCAATGCTGATAACCCGTGATAAAAAATTACTATCACGTTTTAAATATTGTACATTATAAATGATTTTCTAAACAACAATTTCAAGAACAATCGTCAAATTGCACAATATTTCATAATGGGTTACGTCTTTTTTTTTATCTTTTCAGATAATATTTGTTCACGTTCATGCTTAAAAATACTCGTGTACATAGAATGAAATTTACAACTGTTATAATACTTCAAATCTCAATTATCTCCCAAACGAAGTGTGTAGTAATTTTTTATCAGATACAATTTTTATTATAAATGTGTGTGTGATCATTACTGTATAAATAATACACCCCCTCTTTTCTCCTAAAATTATAATTATCTATTTAAAGCAATCTATATCAACCTTCATAATTTGATAAGGTCATATAGTAACCAGAAGAATTATTTGTGTATACGCTTTTTAACTGAATCAGTTTTATACAAATTTCTTTTATTAAACTCTTTTGTGATTTTAACGATATTTGTTTAAACATTAATTAATATAAATCCAGAATGTATACGTTAATTTCTTGAATAAATATCATTTCTTTTTTTATTTAATAGTATCTCATGATACAATGAATGTTTCATAGGAAGAATGATAATAGAAATAGAATAAGAAAACTACAATTTATATCACGTGTCTGCAATAACAATACAGTATATGATCAGTTTATTGATCCATCATGCATATATGTATGATAAATGAAGAATGATAAATAATAATTATCAATATATAAGTAATAATTTGTAATAGTAATAATATATAAGTATATATTATTATATATGCTTATATATATATATAATTATATTTTTTATTTTATTTATTATATTTTTATTATTACTTATTACAAATTATATATTAAAATTATATATAATAAATTATATAACAATTAAATTATAATTATTAAACCAATTAATTATCATTATTATATAATTATTTAACCAATTAATTATCATTATTATATAATTAATTAACAATTAAATTAAATTACATAACAATTATATAAAAATTATATAACAAATTATATAACAAATTATATATTAATATAATATATTATATATTATATATATTAATATAATATATTATAATTATATAAATTGTATAAGTAATAATTTGTAATACTATTAAATTCGCAAATAGATCCATATGGATATTTACAGTTTATTTGTCAGAAAATTGCATCGATTGAAATATTGTAAAGAATTACTTACCACCAAAATAGTACAGAAAGTATATTTGCCTTTTCTCTTGGATTAGGCCTAATCTTTGATTTACTTGAATCCATGATTTTCCTTTTGTTTTAAATAGATTAATCAAATGTTTGCTTCTTATATAAAAGATATACGATAATATATTGTAATTGTTAAAAAGCAATCGTATTAAAATATATAACTAATAAATCAAGCACAGTAATCTTCTTAATCACGTTAACTTAAAGTGACACTTATCTCGAAATCCACTTAAATATCTCTTTAATAATCGAGTACTTAACGATTGAGAACAAAATTATCACTGAATGCGAATTTAAATAATACGATTCGTTATACATCACAGCACACAAAATCTTCTTTTTTAATCTTCCGATTATGACTTAATCCAAAATGAAATCTTCAGCTTTTACACAAAGTTTCAAGAAGATATTAATGATCTGTTATGTAGTAGTAGTGGTCGTGATAGTTATAAAATCCTCGACATGTTTTAATAATTATCATCCTCTTGCTGTGTCAAATAGTTCGAACTAATTTCTTTTATCTTGAGAGGAGGCATTCGTCGTAGAACTAAAATCCGAAATAATTGAATATCTCAGAAGGTTGCGTCTATTTAAAAGAACATTTCGTATCACAATTATCAACCATATCTATCTTATCTAAAATCAAGCTTCGTCATTGTTCAAATAATTGATTTCCAAGTATGAATATCTTAAGTATTAAAATTCATTAAAAAATCCTTTCTATCTTAACCTTTCATAAGAAGAAGAAAGTTTCTATTGCAAGGAACAAAACAAAATTTCATTTCATTTCTACATTTTTAAATTTCATTTATAATTATTAATAAATATATTCTATCTTGTTTAAAAAGTAAATGTTATTGGAGTTTACTAATTGATTTTATTTTCACATTTGAAAAATTCCGAACAGATGTGTAAATACACGTCATATATATATATATATATTTGTGAATTAACATATTATAAAGTTCTTTTATTTTTGTAATATAATACGAAGAAACTTTTTATTCGGCTCAATATATAGTATATAAGTTAGAGAAAGCTATAATAATTATTGAATTTTTATTTTCATCATACTATAGTTTCAACAGGTGGCTGAAGAGAAAGGAAAGAAAGGTAAAGATACCTCTGTAACTTATAAAATTCTTCAAAGTACGAGGTCAACCGATTTTACAATACAGATTATATATTTTTTCGTGAGAATCAATTGTGAAATGTAAACAAAAAATATCGACAGAAATAAGAATTGTGTATTGTGTATGCAAAAAAAAGAAAAAATAAAAACAAAAATTACATAACGTTTCATATAATATACGAATGCTATATCTATTGCAGTTAAAATGCAACAATTTTTAAAGTAAAGTTGTTTTGTTTATTGAATTTTTTTATCGTCAACGACATTCCATATTTTTTCTTTGTAATTTGTATTTTAACGAATAGAATTTAAATACCTTAAATGTGCATTATGCAACAATAAAATAGAAAAATGTCAAATAATCCTGTGTGTATATATATATATATATATGTTTGTATGCTGTAATTATTTATCATTGTATGTATATATACCGGAAAAGAATTTTAGTTGACCATATGTTCATTGCTTCACATAAGTGCATTAATATACAATAATTTATATATACACTATGTATACATCTATATTATCATCGTTAGTCAGCATCTTGTGGTTTTTTTCCTCAACATCATTTTCAAGACTACATTAATCAAATGATTTTTATATAATGAAATTTTATATAAGATCTAAAATTACAAGAACATAACGAAAAAAAAAAACAAATAAAAATAAATTTAATTCTTGTTTAATCAATGATCTTTTATTTGTTTATTTATTAAATAATAAACTCTTTGATTACGGCATATTAAATCATATTACTACCTTGATAAGATTTATGACGTATAACACGAGTTACATTTTTGTCAATATTTTATGTATCGACACGTAATAAAATTCACTGCCACTTGTTGTGACATTAGTAACTGAATGTATATTGCTAATTATAGTTTTTGTAAATCAAGCTAACTTGTTTTTGATCGATTAATATTATCTTTTAATGTTATACTTAAATCAAATCAACTCAAAAAGAAAAGATTAATATCGCGATAAGATTCGATTTTCTTATCAAAATGCTACTTTACTAAAATGGGTCCTATGGAATACTTCAAAACAAACTTTTCCGAAAGATAAGCGCATAATTCGGAAAGGGAAAGAAACAAAAATAAATTGAACAATGAAAATAAACGATAAGATGTTCGAAAAAAGAGAGGAGTGATTTTCCATTTATATATACCTGTAAGGTTGTGAGCCTTATTTGCTTAAACGGTAGTTTTGGAATGTCTAAATAAATACAGATGTCCTTGAGAACCCTGCCAGTTATGTCTGAATATATTTTATTTCAATCTATTCTTGGGTTCATTTTCTGGAACTATTTGGACTAATCTTTTGTTTGTAGATTTTAAAACGAAAAGTATCTATATAGAATGTCTAACTTAATTCATATAACATTTATTTTTAATTCGATCAAATTTGAATGTGTGAATAAATCCTTAGGTTTACTAAGGATAAACCTAAACATATAACTTGCACGATAAAACGAGAAGACATTACAGTCGATCAATTCTTTTATATAGGACGACCCTTCGAAAGTAACCCTCCCTGTATCTTTTTTCATTCTCGAACACGTTAAGGGATTTAATAGAATAGTCAATGAGCTTAACTTAAACGTTAAACGAAGATTCTTTGTATGAACTTACAGTAATGTATATCGTTGAAATCATTCAGATTCAAATTGTTGCATTTATTACTTAAAAATAATTGCAATTGTTACATATGTTGCTAAAAATTGATCAAACTGTAACATACAAATATTTTAAATAATTGTTGCATGTAATATATAATTCATTGGTTTGTATTTAAATAAACACGTTCACAATAGAACGTTCGAAGTTAGAACTCGAATCCGAACAATATCGCCTATCGTAATATTTTTTGACGAAGCGAACAAACAGAGTCGTTAAAAGGGAAATAATTTTTTACAGTTGATTATCTTTATGTACGTTGATATACGTTCACGCCGTAAATACATATCTATTGTACACTTCGTGTAGCATACATATAAATAAGTATTAACGAGTAAAGATACGTAAGCTTAAACGATAGAGAATTAAATGGCGTGATACGTGTAACGCTTGAGAGACATGGAGAATTCCCATCTTTCTTCTTTGAAAGCTGGGTCAATTGTTGATAGCACGTGACGCGTCTACATTTAATTTACAGTGGAATGACAATTGCGTAGTATAACGAATTACTTTTAACACTACCAACATTTCTATCAAGAAATTTGTTTCGAAAGGGAAACATTAAATAAAACAAAATTATAAGAAAATCAATTCTTTTTTTCTTTACTTATTATCTTAATTATTTCCCATTAGAATAATCTTTCGCGCCAAGTTTCATTTTCTTTTTTATCTTCAATTCTTTTTAATATTTTTGTTTGTATTTAAACGTATTCAAGGAACATCTGAAAATATGTTTTTTTTTTTTTTAGTATAGACCTCTCGTAACTAATATTATCGGTTATACAAAAAAATATTAAATATTATCTATATGTATGTATATATAAAATAAAAGAACTATCGTTTTAGCAATATATATTTCGATGATCTGCTATTAATAATCGATACCGTTGGCCGATTATACTCTTACGCGTTTACCTCATTGATTCGATGACTCGTTGATGACAATAAATAAATCATTTGATTCAATGAGATACAATTTAATATTAAGATAGTCTTCGAGGAGTATACTCAATCATCAATTGATCTTACGAACGACAATCTGACGTTTTCAATCATAGAATTTTTCTTATAATAAAATCTCACATAACTAACATTAGCTACTATAAATAATTATGGATTTTAATTTATCGAGATCATCAATCATTGAAGTATAAAAATAGTAATTGTTGATTATAATTCCATTCTTGACCCTAGTAAATATTTTTTTAAAAATCATCGATCATGAAATTGATCATATGCTGACTAACGGTCTATAAATTATGCTGACTAACGATCTATATCTTGATCATTAATCTATTATCGATCATACAAAATAGTATCAAATAAAATTCAAACGTAATTAATGCATTATCAAAACTGTTTGCACATTTTCTTTAAAAATACTAATAAAATAAAAATTAACAGAAACAATTATCAAGCGTGATTTTAAGAAATAGATCATCGTGCATAGATCTAAAGGAAACATTTAGAATTTACACATGTAAGTCAAAAAAGTATCCGATCAAATAAAATATTAAAAGTTCTTTTTTCGTGAAACACTCTTCATGGTTCTTTCGCGCATGTTTCATCATTCGAAGGTCGAACACACTCGGAACAACTTATCCGCATGCGTGAATAGAATTCATAGTTTCTGACGTGTATATATATATATATATATATATATATATATACACACATGAATACTTTTTAAGCGTCATTATGTGATCGTGACATATAACGCTACAATCGACTTTGATCGAATCTCACGAGATGCAAACGAATTGAAGAAAAACGAAAGAGAACAAAATCTTAAAAACAACATTTTTCTCTCTCTCTCTCTCTCTCTCTCTCAAACGAGTTATATAATAAAAAACAGAAATTGTATTATTCCTATAAACATAAGGTTTAATATTATAACTGTATTTCTCGGAAGATCTCGTAGCCAGATATTTTCAGAATCACCAGAATAAATGCATTCTTCTTTCTATCTCTCTCCTTCTCTTTTTCTATCTCTTTTACCTCCTCTCACTCTTACCTATTGCTATCTCTTTTCCTTCTCATTTATCTCTCTCTCTCTATATATATATGTTTCCTTTAATTTCAAAATAAAAACATATGTACATTATCTTATAATTATAGTAAATATTATGATAATATAAATATGAACCGCTCTTAATTAAAATGAATTATATCTCTCGGATTGTAATATATTTCTTTTCTTCGTTATATTTATATAACAAGTTAATATCATTTTGAAATACTATAAATTATACTCACGTATAGAAAATAATGCGATAAACTATTGTAATTGATTAATTAATAATTAATATCGATTGTATAAATTATTCTTTTTTTTTCATCACAAACTCTTGATTCACATAACAGAATTTCGTGCGTTACTATTTTTCACGGTAAAGTGGCGCCTTAGAATAATGATGATAATTAAAGATATCACAAATATAATAAAAATATTAATCAATTATTTTAAACGAATAAAAAAAAAAAAAGAAAAACACTTTAATTAATAAGAAATTTTACGCACTGCTACAAAAATTTCTATCCTTTGCCGCCTCTATTTTGCTCCATCAAGCTACATCATACATTTAGCACCGTAGAACACGTTCTCGAGACTAACCTAATCCTTACTGAGCATCCACTGTGCAGTAGATATGTATACATATATGTACTTATGTATATAATATATAAAAGTATTTTACATATGTATACAGGCACATATCTTTTACACTCACAACCACCAAAGGGTTGAACACGATGTCAGTACCATCTAGTTGCACAGTGTTGAACTAAATTTTTGAGCGCTAATATTCAAATGCTATTACAATAGAAAAAACGCGATAGTAACTAATTAATATCAATTTATTTCTATTGATATTTCTATTAGATTCAAGAAGAAAAAGCAAAAGAAACTTTCTTCTTCCGGAAGATTAAATGTAAGAAAACAGTTTATTTATTCATTTTAAATGCAAAATTGTTATACAATTAGTTTATATATATGAAAATAATAATGTTAACAGTATTATTGTAGTTACTAATTGATTTTTCTTACAACGTTATATTTATAATCTTATTGTCTATTCTCTTAGATAATTATTTACATTCGTTAAATCAATTTATAATTAGCATAGACCTGTCTATGATATAATAGGAAATTTTTTCTATTTATCTTTTCTATATATAAAAAAGATATATATGTATTATGTATATATTTATATATATATATATATATATATTTAAAATACTTTATTTATTTTTTTAAATTTTGTTTTTAGATATGTGAGGCATTTATCAATTCCTGCGTTTTTTTTTGTTTTGTTTTTTTTTTTTTATTATAGAATTAAAATTTTATAATTATTATTTAAGAACATGAAAGAAAGAGAGAGAGAGAGAGAGATTTTCATAGCTAAAAAGAATTTGTACTAATAACTATCATTTGACATGTTTTCGTTGTCATCATCATCATTATCATTCCTATCGTATTACTTCATTTTATTTAAAAAACACATAAAAATAGTCATGCTAAATATTTTCTATTTTTCTTTATATTTTCTTTTTCTTTCCTTTTTACTTTTTAAGAACTGTTATAATCGATTGGACATTACATTGCACTACTCCATCGAGCTATGAAAATATTTTTCTAATTTGCATTATAATATGCACAGCATGGAATATATAATAGAAATAGAAAGAGAGAGAGAGAGAGAGAGAGACATAGACAGAGAGAGAAAGAGAAAGTAAACATTAAATTTAACATGATTTCACTTACAAGAATCAGAGAGAATTTTTAGCATTTAATGCAATTAAGAAAAAAAAAAAATTCGAAAAATATAAAAAAATAAATAGAAAAATACTGATAAAATATTATTTAAAAAAAAAAAAAAGAAGAAAAAGAAACAGAAAAAAAATACCGCACATAATAAAATATAATTATAATAGATGGCCTGTGGCATATACTTTAAAGATTAAAATATATATGTAAATTATTATTAAGTCATTATAAATTTAATAAATACTACGTATAACTATAGACCATTCGATACTGTTTTAACAGTTTCAAGTATTCAAGTATTAAAAATAAAAAAAAAAGGAAATTCTTACTAAATTTTTATTATATGCCTATATTAAAAAAAAAAAAAAAGAAAAAAAAAGAGAAAGGAAAGAAAGAGAGTAGAAAAAATAAAAAAATATAGTCAATATAATATAAATTCGTAGTCTACTGTTGTTTTTTAAATCTAAGGTACAGATATACTCTTTGTTGTGTGTGTTTTCAGGCTGAAATTAACGTATTTATCCGTTCTATATTCTTATATAATTTTATTCTAATGTATTATGTTATCGCCGAGAATTTAATAACATTAAGGCAAGCTTTTCATATGCGTATGCTAAATTTTTATAAAGACCTTTTGAACAACCATTTTCTTGGATAGTTTGAAATCTGTAAGTCTTAAAATTTTTATCTTCATCTATGTAAGTAACAGCAGCCATTAAAGGGCACATAATTATTTTTGTATGATCCAAGAAATTTATCTAAAAAAAAACATAATATTTAACAAAATAAATAAAACGAAATCAAATAAAAATTAATAATAATAATAATAATAATAATAATAATAATAATAATAATAATAATAATAAAAATAAAAAAAGTAATTATTAATATATAAAGAATTAAAATAAAATAAAGATTTCAAACTAATTAATTTGAAACAGTAATTAAAATGAAATAATATCAAATAAACGTTTAACTTACCTGTACCGTTCCGTTTGTTAATTGCATAACTACAGCAGTCTGTGTCCTAAACCATTGATGCATATATGGTATTCTTGAAAGTGAATCGCTTTGTTTAACAGCAATTGATCCACCTGCTTTCATTAAATGCTCGTTCATGTATTTCAAGAAAAAATTCATTAATTTCATTTTCTTGTCCAAAGAACTTGGAAAATCTTTAACAGTATAGTACAATTCATTTCCATCACGGTTTATATAATGGATATTGAAACCATTGGCCAGCATTATCAATCTTGTACCATCGTTAAACATTACACCTACTCCATCATCGGATAGCTGATATCCAAATCCATATTTATCTGAATAATCCACCCATTTACTAATCCATATTACAGGCTGTGCAGCTGGATCTGTCATTTCATCTATACAAATAACATATTTTAAATAAGATTACGTAATATTGCAATAACTTATAATAAAATATCTTTAATAAATTATTATGTATATATACATTATATATTATATATTCATATACATTAATTCGAATCTTCGCGAACTAACAATTCGGTTTTGCGACAATTTGACGATTTTCTTAATTTTAATATAAAAAATTATTTTATATTTTTATTATTTTTAAACATTCGCCAAGATTCAAGGAAATCTAATATAAACTAAGCATACACAAGATTAAATCTAGAATATAAAAAAAAATAAAAAGAAATATTGTTACTTTTAATTAAAAATAGCAATTGTTTTTAAGTATAGATAATTGATGAATTTCTTCCATTACAATAAATTCAGCAAAAATTGAAAGGACGATTCAATTAATATAAATTTCAACAGATGAAGGTAATTAAGCTTATAATGTGAAAAGGAAAGGATATGCATGCCTGAAGGATCCATGGAAAGCTGATACGGTCTTGGATACTCTGCATTAAGCAAAATTATTTGATTATTTTGCAAATTCTAGTGTAAGATTGATATTTATTATTATTTAATAAATATTATATTAAATAGTAAATACCTGCAGAAGATGCTGTTTCGCTTGATGGGCGAGTCGATAATACAACAGTTAATTGATCTTTTAGTGCATGTAACATTTTCTTTGTATCCAAATTTGATTTGTGCACATGATTAACATCTTCTGAAGGTTTTTTACGTGCCGGACTGTTTGGCATGCGTAATCCATTATCATCTCTATCTCCACTAGCATTAAGATTCATTTCGGATAAAGGTTTACGTTGGTTATGCATTTCCAACATATCCAAACGTGGTGCCATTGTTAAGCACGAAAGTGGCAAACTTGTTGGTAAATAACCTTTAAGATAATATTAATGCATTAACATGTACTATTTGTTTCTATAATATTCAATAGTTTAATCATTTAATTACCAGATGAAAAAAAGATATCTTTCATTAATTTAGATACAGGAGGACGCTTTGAAGGTATTCCTTGTAGCATATTTGTAATCATGTTCATAGCAGGCTTACTAAGATGCGATGGTGTTTTATACTGAACTTGTTTAATTCGATTATATGTTTCTTTCAAACTCGATGTTTCAAAGGGAGGTTTACCAACAAGTAAGGTATACATTATACAACCTATACTCCACACGTCAACTTCATAAGAATGTCCTGCTTTAGTTAAAATTTCTGGAGCAATATAATTTGGCGTTCCACACAGTGTTCTATAAATAAAGTTTATATGTTATTTTTATTTATATGGAATCATATTATGACACGTTATCAATCATTTTCAATAATTACTTTTTACGCTCTCCCTCATGTTCCAATCGTGTTGCTAATCCAAAGTCACCTATTTTAACTTGTAGTTCATCATTTAAGAATAAATTACCTAACTTTAGATCTCTATGTATTATTCTATTCTGATGTAAATAGTGTACACCTTCTAAAATTTGTTTCATATAATACCTAGTTTCACATTCTGAAAGTGCTTTTCTACGTTTATGCAACTCCATCATTGACTACAAAGATACACAATTAAAATAACATTAAAATGACAATATATTATATTTCTTTGAACTTACTCTTTTACGACAAAGCTCAAGAATAATGTAAATGTTATGTGCATCATCAAAAAATCCATAAAATCCAACAATATTTCTATGATTTAAACTTTGATGTATCGTAATTTCTTGAGTCATTTTTTCTCTTTGATTACTCTTTGTCATCATCGATTTGGATACAATCTTTCCAGCAAAAACATGATGAGATTTGGACTCTCGGATTTCATAGCATTTAGCAAAACCACCCTTCAAACGATAAAACAAAACAAATATATGGTAATTCAATAATATTTATGTTCTATTCCTTATCAATATATATTTTACAAGTGATTATTGATCTCTGCTAATATCAATAAAAATGCATTTTTTATCACAATGTTTTATAAATACGCTCCATAATTTTAACAAAAAATTGATCAACTACTATTTTAGTTAATATTCATTTCAAAACATTAAAAATATGAATTCAAACCAATTAAATAAAAATTTGGATTCATAAAAGAACATGAAACATTCCTAAACATATATATATATATATATATATATATATATATATATATATATATATATATATATATATGCAAATCAACAGGTATCAGTTATAACATATCATCATTATTCCAACTTTAGTAATATCAAATATTATGATTCATGAGAATACATTAACAAAGTTAAAAGATAAGATGATAATTGATAAATTGTTGAAAAATAATAATATCTAATGACAAATTAAGATAGATATTAATTAATGATTATTGACTAAATAATGCATATTAATTTAACAAAAGAAAAGAAAATTATGAAAAGAATGTTTGACGAAAAAAAAGAAATGACACTAGAATATATAAAATAATAATTAAAAAATATAATTAAAAAAATATTTTCAAATCTTTAATTCGGTATACAGGCTTCTCATGGTGGAAAAAGAGGTTGACTTACCTTACCAAAGAAACGACCTTTAAGATAACTTTTACCTCCAACAGAATCGTGTATAACATCGGGAATAATGCACTCCTTTTCGTCTTTTGACATTTTTATGCTTTTTTAGATATTTTATGTTAATATTAATATATTACGAAAATAAATGTCAAAGCCGTTATTAAATACGTTACAGTCTATAGAAGAAGCTATACTTCCTGGCACAAAATACCTTCCTAGAAAATTTAAACCGCTGTTTTCGTATATTGGACGGCAAGCAACGGATTCTAATGTTTAAATCAAATATATATGACCAATCGTGTTAAGCTTACTTGTCACGTGACTTAAGCCGAAACCAAACAAAATCGAATAAGGGAGAATTAAAGAGTATTTCTCTAAGGAAATTAGTGGCGCCACCTGTCGTCCGAAAGGATACACTATGCACTTTATATTTGTACATATATGTGTACATAATATGTATATGCATATATACTATGGTTAACACTAAACATTTAGATAGAAATTAATAACAATTAGGCTTTTGTTATTTGTAATAATTTGTTATTAAAATAAAATAATTTACACGTATTATGATGACTCTAATGATGAATTATTTCTATAAATTTAAAGAAAAAACAAATTTGGACATACCTAGAAGTGGAGAATAGTATAATTACAGTACTATTGTCTATATTTATAATTACATAATAAAAAGTATAATATAATCATTAAATTTTTTTATATTTCAACATACATTTATTAATAGTTAAATAATATAGGAAATGGGATTTAAAAAATAATTAAATAATAATTATTATTAAATGGCGTTAATGAAAATGCTGCATGTATCTTGTATATCCGGCAAAATTGAAACGCCAATTTAACTGGTATGTGTGGTCGATGAATCTTTTTCCGGCAGCCGGCGTCCATTTTCCTTCTCGGCTTATCCGTAGTTGGCGCGTATCTTGTTTATAAAAGCTTGGATATTAAATTAATATAAAAAGAGTAAGTATTTTAATAATAAAATTTATAGCAATTGTATAGTTAAATCGATTAATAATTTATATCGATATTTATTCATTATCGATTAGTGATGAAGTAATGAATACTCAACGTTTTATTGGTTCCGTGTCCTCTTGAATGGCGTCTGTGTTGTAATTATTTTTTCTTACAATTTTTTAACAAAATTTCAATTATTATTTTAGTTATTAAAAAATAATGGAAGGTGCTCCGAGTGGTGGTAGGGGCGGATTTAGGGGTCGTGGAGGTCCTGGTGGTCCGATGAGAGGACGCGGTGGTTTTGGAGATAGAGGAAGGTAAATTTTAACTTTAATTTAATTTTTACATTTAACCCCTAAACTATACTCGTAAGGATCAATGAAAATTCCTTAATTTACATATACATTTTTATTAATTTTTATATTTCTTTATATAAGGGGTGGTCCTCCAAGAGGAGGTAGTATGATGCGAGGAGGTCATGGTAGTGGGCCTGGTGGTGGAATGAGAGGCGGTCCACCTGGTATCAGAGGCAGAGGAGGTCCTCCAGGTAGAGGTGGACGTGGCCATTTTCCGGGGTAATTTCAACAAATTTCTCTATTAAAATAATATAAATACAGCATATTTAATAGTTAATATATCATGACTAGTGAATTGATCAGTTTTAAATTTTAAATCAAATTTCTACGTTCAATATTATATATATATAAATAACTGTTTAAATGCCAAACAGGCTCATTGCTTTATTAAGGTAATTAATGTGAAATATTGTTTTAGTGGTCCTCCAGAACCAGGAATGGCTGGTGGTCCTGGTGGTGGTCCTCCACCTCCAGGTTTAGGTGGTCCTCCAAGAGGAGGAAGCCGAGGAGGAGGAAGTAGCGGTTTCCGTGGCAGGGGTAGAGGAGATTTTGGTAGAGGAGATAGTCGTACTTCAAGTAGTAGTTTCCGTGGACGTGGTGGTATGGACAGAGGAAGTCGTGGTAGTTCAAGGTAAATTATAATGAATTTTTATTATTATATATTCTATAATTTTTATTGTTAATATTGGTATAATTTTTAACAGAGGTGGATCAAGTAGAGGTGGTCTAGGTGGAAGAGGAAGTTTTGGAAATCGTTCTAGTAGGGGTGGCAGGGGTGCACCAACGAAAAGAGGTGGTGGCCCACCAGGTGCAAGTGGTCCTTCGAAGAGACCAAGATTTGATCAACCATCCTCACAACCATCTAATGGTTATGCAACACAAGCTCCAAAGTAAGAATTTATGGTTTTTAAGAAATATCAAATGTTATAAAATATAAGTAACAAATAACATGATTGTATTATTTGTGATATAGTCAAGGGGGATATGGTGCTGCTGGAAATGCCTATGGTGGTGGCCAACAACAAGCACCGCAACAGCAACCAGTAGGAGGATATGGTGGTGGTTATGGATCTCAACAGGGTTATGCGCAATCATATCAAGGATACGAAAGCTATCAACAGCCACCTGATTATGCACAAGCTGCGGTAATAAATATGTTTTTATATAGAATATTATTAGAATATTATTTATATATATATTCAATAATGAAAATATAAACATAATGTGTTTTAATTGTACACAGGGTTATCCACCCTCAGCACCACCTGATAATAGGTACGGAGGAGCTCCTGCTGTTCCATCAACTGGAGGTTTTAATACTGGAGATCCTTATAGTTATGGCAAAGCTCCGCCCTCAGGTTAATATAAATATACTTTTCCATTTACATATATGTATTATTTATGAATCTTATATATCGTATAAAATTTTGTTTCAATTTATTAATTTTGAAAAATAAACCTAAAACTTTTTTATATTGATTAAGATATAAGTCGCTTTTAATTGTATATTCTTCTTCTTCTTCTTCTTCTTCTTTTTCTTCTTAGGGCTTCATCCTGTTATCTCTAACTAAACAGCCTAAAGAGGCTATTTTGTTAGTTCTGGGAGCGATTATTTTTTTTTTTTTTACCGAGGGTAGATTGCTAGCCTCGCCCTCTAACCCTTCCCTTTATCTGAGCTTGGGACTTAATTATATATAATGTTAAATAATGTATTTATAGCTGGCTATCAGCAAGAGGCAGTAGCAGCTGCAGTAGCAGGAGGTGGGGGTCCAGGTTATGCTCCTGCTAACCCATATGATGACAGATCTAATGCTACCACCATAATCAACCGGGGTGGTTATTCAACACAACCTTATGGTTAGTTTTTTTTGTTTTATTATAATATTATTTTTGTGTAGTTTTTTTTTAACACATTTAATGCTAGTACTTACATTGTGTGTCTACAACGAAACAGATTAATTTAGAATTAGTTTTTTCGTACAAACGTTTTGAGAGTATTCTATGCTCAAAAATAAGAAAAAATGTTAAATAAACGTAGGTCATTTAATGCTTTATTCAAAAGTTATAATATAAATTATATAACTATCTGAATGTGCTATCCAAAATGTTTCTACTTAGACAAATATAAGTTTGACACTACTGTAGTATGGTGTTTATGACAAGGCTAATTTTTTGTTAATTTCTATTAGTTTTTGCAACTGCATCCCTAATTCATTCTACTATAACATCTGGTATATGATACACAAAAATTTTGACAAGATTGGTTTAAATTGATATTTTGTATGTTTACAGATTATCCAAATCAGGATGGAGTATATGGAAAACAAGATTATGGTAAGTACTAATTAAATTTTAAAAACGTCGTATTTTAGAGAAATAAAAAGAATTATCGTCTATACAAGATTTAATTATTTTATTACAAAATAGATAGAAACTTAGATTAAAAATGAATAAGAATAGGAACATTGCGAAATTTATATTAGAAAAAAAAATACTTTAAAAGGTATAAGATATTAATTATGGAAAGAATGTATAATGAATTAATTGATATTCATGAAGAAACTTGTATATATATATATGAAAGCAATATATAATTACTTAGCTGATTATTTTTCTTAAAGCAATATAAGATCATAGAAATTTTAGTAAATTTCATAAATCCGATTAATAATCAATGATAGAAAAGTACAGGTCACATACAATTTGATGAAGTAATAATGCGTATGTATATTTTCTTTTATTAATCAATTATGATAATAAAAGCGCTAGGCATGAGAACATCAGGCAAATCAAATAGAAATGATTTAATATAAATTAGGTGCTAATTGGTGGTTCTTTGTTATTAGAGAAGATATTGCTTATTAAGTCCTAATAATAAAAGACATTGTTTCTTCAAATTAATTTTATATTAACAAATCTTTCCTAATATGGTAAAATAACAAAGAATTATTGCGCATGTACAGAGAATATAAATGACAAATTAAGATATCTTATTTAGGAGTAAAAGATGATGAACAAATAATAGAAAAATTAATCACTAATATATTTTTTAGTAGTATACACGGCTTCTTATGATATACATAAATAAATATAGGCTTATTATATTGATTTATTTGATGTATATATATATATATATACATACATATACATATAACGATAAAAATATTAAATATTGAATCAAATCTAAAGTTATACTTTCAAAGTGATTGAACGGAGGAGCTATGGTTGTTTGCAGGTGGCAGTGCTGGTTACCAAAACGCCCAGTCTCAGCGACGATATTAAATATCATATACACAGCTATTTAATTATAACCGTCAAATTCATTTTGCAAATTTGAAACTATGTTTAACACAAGAATTAGTTGATTATTGATGACTTAGTAATCGGAAATATACTAGCATGGAATTTGACTGCAGTAAAGTGGATATACTTTATTAGGTATAAGAATCTTATCTGCGTTAAAATGATGGAAAACATTTTAAAATAAGTGTTTTTTCTAATGGAAATGATAAAAATACGCAAGAGTAAAACAAAAAGTTGTTCAATTATATGATCTAAAAATTGAAATGACAAAGCGTTTTATACTTGACTAGCAGTATATAGTATCTACTATGTCATGTTTCACTTATACAATTTTATAGGATTAAGTTTAGTTGCTGTACAGTCTTCTTCACTCACGTTGCGTATTGTAAAATAAAATCAGTTGATAAAATCATTGTAATTGTAAGGAGAATGATGTCAAGTTTTCTTTTCTTGCGATAGATTAATTTTTTCTATTTTACAAATATACATTTAAATACACAAATTCAAATTTAGAAACAGAACAGTTTAATACGTAATTATGTTTAAATTTATATTTCTCGTAGTGTAATCTTTATTTTTTATTTAAATTAATTGAAATAACTATAATTTTTATTAGTCAATAATCGATAATAATGCGATTTTTTTTTAATTATAGTGTCTTAACGATTAAAGAAAAATATAAATAAATAAAATGTTTCAATTTTATGTACGAATTTTAGGTTGGTATATATTAATTTTGATTAATGATCTTAATGGATTTGTAAGAACTTAATCTCTATTAAAAATGATTAGAAGAAAACAAAAAATTAGTATCGTTTATCATAGATCAAAGGATTCAGTGCTAAATTAATTTTTACACCCATAAATATAATACAAATTAAGATATAATTAAAATAATGTCACACTGGCAGAGACAATCAAGGCACAAATAGTGATAAGAAAAGTTAAGAAAATAAAAGAAAGCTTTTAAAAAAGAAATTCAAGAAAGGTAAAGGAGTGTGACTTCCTGTGATATTTGTGCATGCAAATTAGACAAACTTGTCCCAGCCAATTGTGTCTCTCTCTCTATATATATATATATATATACATATATACATACATATATACATATATATATATTAGGATTTTGAAAAAGAAACAAGTTTTATATTTATGTTTTATTCATTATATCAAACAATAATTTTATCTGCAACTAAACTTTAGAAAAATTTTATTATCATATACATATATATGTCTATATGTATATAAATATATAAATATCATTTTCATAGTAGTAGTATTGATTCTACATTGTATGCAATAGAAGAAGTATTGAAATGGAGAGAAACAAAAAAATATCGTGCAAAAAACGCAAATACTTTCATATTTATTATCATCTCCTCACCTTCGACACAAGAGAATTTGGATGAAAGAAAATGAGAAAAGCTAGCGATGAAATGAAAACCAGCATCTGCCCTAGGAAATCATCAAAACGAATAAATTGGGCACCAGGTGTACACATTTAAATGTCCCCAGCTCAAAAGAGCAGCATATAGATGTACAAATAACGTAGGTATGAGCTTTTGTTAAAAATGATATTAGATATATTAATCACTATTATTATTTGGTAATAATAGTAATAATAATAATAATTAATAATAATAATAATATATAATAATAATAATCATTATCATAATAATAATAATAATAATCTGTAGAAGTATTACTTTTTATTGTAGAGATCAGTTTAAAATGATTTCTTTTTTTCACCATAAAATAAGATTCACTCTATAAGCGCACATATAAATAAATAATAATTATAATAACAAATAATAGGTATATCAAGATCTTGACAAAAACTAAGTTTATTTCACAGGCGTAACAACAACCTGAGAAACTTAAGAAACAGAATGAAAGAATGAGAATACCTTCCTTCCATTATCACCAAGAAGATACCAATTCTGATTTAAAAAGAAAATAAATAAATAAGTAAATAAAAAAAAAAAACATATCGAATGATGATTAAACAGTCAAATAATAATTTGTCAAATGGTACAGGTACTATCGTATTTAAAATTGCATTCAATGACGTTAGCGATTCGTTATTTAGATTTTTGGTATCGTAATATATAAATATACTTATACATATATAATATACATACATATTTTATAGATATATATATATATATAAATATAGAGTCCTTATTTAATTTAATAATTGTTAGAAATTTAAACCACAAAACACAGTAAGGATTTAACTTCGGCACATATCATTTTTCGTTTGACATCAATATTTCTCGAAATATGTTCAATATAAATTAGCTATATATATATATATATATGTATATATGTATATATAACTAGTTTATATATAAATGTAGCACATTTTTGGCAATTTCGATATAATGATGAAAACTTTGAACAATAAAAGAGAAAAAAAAATGCCAAAATTTGTTAACAACACTTAATGTGCACTATATAATCATTAATAAATATTAAAAAAGCAAAGCACAAATCAATGAAACAAATGCTCGAGTAAACTGCAATCCAAGCTGAGGTGAGTAAATAATATAAATAAATATCTATCAATTTTTGTGCAAAAATACAATATTATCATTGAATGATCTTTCCCTAAGGAGAGTTTAATGTCGAACGAGTATAGAAAAATTAATTTTAAAAAAGAAAATCGATTTAAAATACCAGCATCTATCGAGTATAAAGTGGAGCAATAAAATATTAATAGGCTTATAGAAATAAAATGAAGTGAAGAGAAGATAAAGAAAGAAAGAGAGAGAGAGAGGGAGAGAGAGAAATAGAGAAGGAGAGAGAAAAAAGAAAAGAAAAGATCTTTTGCATCGTTGCATAAAAATATATTACTTTGCATTTAAAAAAAAAATATATATATACATAGCATATAATTGTGTGTATAAATACATACATGTATATATTTATATATGTATATGTATGTATTTATATGTACCGCTTTATACACACGATATCTGCAGACTAGCATGTAAAAATGATTACCTAGGTGAACTATGATTAAGATCTTAATTTTGATCAAATGAAATTATTATGATATCGTATTTTTTTGAAAAATCAAAAAGAATGAAATAATTAATTACTTAAAAAAAATATTGCAAAAAAGAAAAAAAGAAAAAGAAGAATCTTATAAATGATTAAGATTTCAGAGAGAAATAAGAAAGCGTAGGGAAGGAAACATCGACAAAGAGTTGATCAATGTATTGTTTATTACAACATTGACAACATATATGAGACACTTTAAAAATGAAATAAATTGTAAGTGAATAATAACGAAATACGTCTTCTTCAAATAACGATTAAGAGAGCGCAATATAATGTTCTGTTAAAATAATAAGAAAATTCTTCATTCTTTCTAGATATATTATATGATCATGCATATACATATACATATAAATATATATATATATATAAATATAATTTTCATTGTTTCATAAATTTTCTTATTTTTCTAATGTTATTATTATTAATTCTTTAGGTTGATAGCAGCTATGCTAAGTACAACATTGGTGGACCTGAGTGCAACAATCGTGTCAACTGCCACGACTGGCATCAACGTCAATGACCTTATCTACATAAGGTCTCTGGAGATGGTAAGTTTTAATTAAAAAACAAAAAAGGGATTTTTCCTATAGGAAGGTATTAAGATATATAAGTTTATAAGATTAATATTATATTTTAACATATATATATATATATATATATATATATATATATATCTAATTTTTTTAAATTAAATACGCGTCTATGTTAAAATATAATGATAAAAATTTGATTATTTCTTTTCTTTTTTTTTTTNGGAAGGTATTAAGATATATAAGTTTATAAGATTAATATTATATTTTAACATATATATATATATATATATATATATATATATATATATCTAATTTTTTTGTTAAATATAAAAAAGAAAAAAACTATATTTTTATGAAATAAACGGTGTGTCATTGATTTTATTATTTATTTTTAAGACTATGTTAAAAAATAATATAAAAATTATAATTCATAGTTATTTTTTTTATTTTTTTTTTTTTTTTAACACCTTTAGACTTGCTAACAAAAATGAAAAGGAAAGAACATTCTTAGACTTTTACAAAGGATGAATTTAATGATAAAAATATTTGACAATAAGATACGCGTTGAAAATTCGTGAAATTTATTAAGTGCTCGGTAAGCATGGAGAAAGGCTGAATTAAATAACTAGTAGTGTTAAACTTAACGTTCCGTCTCGTCAAACGTAAATTGTTCCAGATAAAGAGTGTATCTTCTTATCCTGTATTTCTTCCTACACAGTCAGTTGACGCGTGAGAAACTTCATTACGTAGTTAAACACGTGAAACCTATAATGATATATTAAGTACGTCATTAACGAAATATTTCTGTTGATAATGAATCATTCATTTTGTCTCATAAAAGTGTGTCACAGTTCCTATCTTAGATCGAATCAATTTCGAAAATATATTTTTCAAATTTAATATACGTGTAACTTCGGCTCAGGAAGTTTTAGTATACGTTCTTTTTTTAATAATAACAAATTTATTTCGAAAAATAGTCAAATCTTTTCTAAGGAAGATTTTAAGATTTCTAGGATACGTTAATCGTGCCTACTCAGCGACAAATCCACCCTCATAAGGGTTCTTAGAAGAAAGAACTCAATCGTATCGCAAGTATCGAATAAAAATACGGTCTGACATAAGTTCGTTCAGTATTTTTTATCGTACATTTTGTTTTGTATAAATATTTATTAATTATTGCAATGAAATGAAATACTTACACCTTTAAAATAAAAAGAAGTTTGGTGAAAATAATATTCTCAAACAGGAGTACTTATTTCGAAGAAGATGACTTTCCTGGTAAGAAATTTTGTATAAATGTATATGCCTGTGTGTGTGTGTGTGTGTGCAAAAGTTTGATATTATTCATTTTCTACATGTGTATATCTTACATTTTTTTTTCGTCCAATTTAATATTTACAAGGAGTTTTTAATAAAAAGTAATGAGTAATTTAGAGAATTTATTAATTGAGTTCATAATTCGTACGTAAGAGACTTGTCATTGTGCAATAATGTATAGAAGATAATTAATCAATGTTTTACAGTTGTTTAAACATAAGTTATCATTGGTCAGTATAAAAAATAATTCTCTTATACAATTATACTATATAATATTGTTAAACGCAATAATATGGTAATACATATATATTATAAATACATATTATAACTATATATTTCATTATGTATATAATATATTTATATTATATATGTATATATACTATACATAATAGGTATATTAATATTTATCAAATTTTCTATTAAAACTATACGTGACATCAAAAGAAAATAATTGAACTCTTTTGCTCGTGATCTCTTGTATCATTTGTTATATAATTAATACAACTCAGCTGTGCTTATACATGTTCCAGGAAAGGTCCTACAATATGAAACTTTATCATGAACCGTATAATATCATTATCATTGACGTGAATCCAATTTTTATTTGACCTCGTGGATAAAAATATTACTTTTATTATTAGTTTATTATTCTTGTGCTTTTACCATCCCCTTATATAATTATCTGTTTTTAATAACCATCTTCCAATATCAATAGAAATCTATAACTTTAGATTAATATAATCCATTTATTACTTTTTGGAAAATAATTTACACGTAAACAGAGAAAATATTTACAAAATTATTAATCCAATTGCAGGATCTATTGATCATGATCGATGATCTTACGTGATTACGATTCTCATGGCTAATATAAGTTGGATTTATCAATATTATTTGTTAATTTGTATTATTGTTTTCTTTATTCGATTATGCGAAATCCGAGAAGAGAGCTTTTATGGTATAAATATAACCGGAGATCTACATACAACGAGGATTACATCACAATCGACTTCTGGTTATTGCAGGTGTGCAAATAGATCGCTATAACTCTGTTCAAGTATCGTGCTATGGAAATTTGATTCTTTTGTGTTCGATCTTTTATACTTCTTAGTACGAATCCAATTAAAATGTACAATAAATTTATACAAACTTTTTACAAAATTTATATACGAACAATCATCTTGTAATAAATTTACCTTGACCATAATGGTATTTAAAAAGTAAATTTCATTTGTAATTTATTAAGTAACGTTGACAATTTTTCTACCTACTTTTTTTTCTTTCTTTATATTAATAAACAAGAATGATACTTTAAATATATTTTAATATAAAGTTGAAAATGAAAAGGTACCAATGTGTAAGTTGTATTGAAATTACTAATAAAACTTATTAGTTGTATTAAAATATAAACTAAACGTCCTTTTGTCTTATCATAGGCTCACAATAGTTCGAAAAAAAATGTTAAAAAAAGATAAAGGGAGTTGAAAAAGGTAGACGCAACCTGTTCTGAAACTCATCCATAATAATGTGGAAGAAGAATTGAAGACTCTAAGTCGTTGATGATAAATGCGTTCGAACGTTCGTTGAGATCATAGTCAGTTGCTTCAAGTTGTTCGAAGTAGTCGGATCGCTTATCGTTTTCGTTACGTGCTGTTCTTTCAATAATTTCAAAGCATCCGAATAGAAACGTGTCTACTTACTTACTTAATTATCTCATTTTCTGTTGTTATTTCTCTCTTTCTTTCTTCCTTTTTTTAAACATTATTTTTTTCACTTTCAACATATATTACTTTTTATTTAGTTTATATTTGGCAATGTGTATTAGCAGTGGTACTAGGTGGACGCGTGAATTTGACAAAAGGTAGTGATAAAACGTGTATTTTTATTATTATTTCATCATTTTATTGTTTCAAAATGACGTAGTCTAATTTCAATGTAATATTATTAAAGTTAATAATTTTTTTATTCGATATTCTATTCGAAAGTTCATGCTCACAAACTTTCTAAATATTTTTAATATTTTTATTTTATTAACATTATTTTATGTTTCTCTCTCTCTCAAAAAAAAAAAAAAAATACAAAGCTAAATAGATCGAACATAAATCTTTAGATATTTAATCATTTCCTTTTCTTTTTTTTTTTTTTTAAACTTACTTATTAATGGTGTTGATTATTTGATGATTTCTTTATGAACAATTTTTGTTTACTTATTTTTTATCAAATGATCATTATATTACACGTTACCGGTTCGGTCATAGTAGATGTAAAAAATCGATCTTGGGTTAGTGGGTTCAAACAATAAATAAAATATGAGATAAGGAAGAAGATGAAGGAAGGGTCGAGAAACAAAAGCTGAGAGAACGAAGGGAGAAAAAGTTGTTTATGGTGATTTCCTTCCTCTAGCTCTTCTCAAGTGTATACGTGTATATAAGTATTATAAAGTTCGTCTCTTTGGCTTCGTTGGCATCGGTCTCCCCCTCTTTTTCAGAACAAGAGGAAAAAACCTACCTAACAGGTTTTAAAGAGGGGCAAGATCGGTATATCGGACATTTAACGTTTCAGTGCATCGCGTAGATCTTTGGATAGAATTTCCTATGTCACATCAACTTCACTTCCCTTTTATTTTTCAAGAAAAAGGATTTATGTTTGTTCAAATTATCATTGTTGTTTATTATTTACTTGAAATTACTTAACGTTTTGGTGCATTGTAAATCTTTCGATAAGATTTCCGATATTACCTGAATTATTGCATTGTTTCTCACAAGAAAAGTGAAGCTATCCTTCGTACACTGAATACATATTATTATTGACGTAAATATATTTTAAATTATTATTATACACTAAAACGAGTAAGATCGTAATAACGATCTGTAGAAAACGTCGAACAAAAGCATTGTTCTTTCTTCCTCGCGTGATTAACGTTTCATCCTTAAAAGTGCACGTAAATCATGTTAATACATTTGTCGACCTTAAATGTAAAAATACATACATACATGCATAAATACGTACAAACACACATACATCTCTATTATGAAATAATTAAAAATTTGGACAATTTCTATTTGAATGAATTAATCAAGAAATATACTTAGAATATTTTTCAACCCTTTCTTTTTGTATACCACTAGAGTAAACATTTTTTTAAGATTATTAAATAAAATAAATAGAAAATGTTTATACGATCAAATCGAAATGCATCAATTTATATCACCAAGAATAATTGAATTTTTCTGTTTTCGAGTCGTACTTCATATCCATAAATGTGTTCAAATCATTTTAATTTACCAACTCGTCCAATATTTCTTTTTTCAGATGATCAAAGTACTCTGATCTGATAACAAGATTCTACTTTTACGAAACACGAAAGAGATTCAAACAAATTCATTTTATTATGATTCCGATGATCAGTGAATCTTCAAGTAGAAAATAAAAAACAGATATATAAAAAAAAAAAGGACGAAGAAAAAAATTAATGATTAATGCAACTATCAACAGAATTACAATAACGAAAATAAATATCTGTGATTTCTTTGATTTAATCTAGTGATATTATAATCCCTAGTGAATGGTTAATATATATACTATAGAATATAAAAAATAGATCAACCTAGTGATCTGTAAATAATTAGTTAGTAAAATTCCAAAAATGGCTACCATCTTATCCGACGAGGATGGAAACGCAATGAAATTAAAACAAAAACTTTTAAATCGTTCTAATAATACCAAGGAAGATAAACGTTCATTTTTAAATTTTTCACGAGAAAATTTGAACATATCACAAGTTGATTTAGAACAAGTATTCACTAAAAGACGTTGCAGACCTAAAAGACACACAATCTTAAGTACAGCTGCGTTATTAATAGCTCTTTTATGTTTCGGCCTGGAAACATGGAAATTGCGTTGCTCTTTGGTGAATTCTCGTGAGATCGAAGAATTGAAGAAAGATGTTAAAAGTTTGAAACACAGATTTTTACAGCAAGATCTTTTGGACGAGCTTAAGGCTTTCGAAGAACAAGTAAGAAATTTATTATATCTATTATATTATTTCAATGAAATTGTTCACGAATCTCCTCGTCGTCTGTAAGATTCGATTTTTAAAAAATAAACAGAAATTCAAAAGATATTGGAATAAAACATACATAATTACGATAACTTACATAATCACTTATGATTAATAGAAATTTCAAGTTTTGAATTATGTGTGTTAGATAAGTTTATAGATGCCGTAAATTTTCAAGCAATATCTCTTTTTCTTATCTACGATTCTTTGCGTTGCTTTATTTACCAAGTAATAAAAGATAACAGATTAGACATTTTGTTAAATAAAAAGTTACCATATAATTCTATTTAATGTCTAAGAAGAATAAAAAAGATATTACTTGTTAGATCGATTTAATTTATTGTTAGATGTTAGATACATTTGTATCTCCTTATTTTTTTATTGAAATAAAGAAATATAAAATAAAATCAAGTTTATCGTCTGATTCTAAAGTGGCAAACAGATAAGTTTGCGTTTGTATACATTCGCAAGTAGAGTTCAATGATCAATGAACTCAGATTTCTGCGTAATTGAAATTGATCAACGTCATTTTAGAATTTTATCTTATGTGAGTCATATTTATACGGTTAATTTTATTATATTTTGAGTGTTATTTATTTATAGAGTGTCCCCAAAAATTATCTTATAAGGAAAAATATAATAAATAAAACGCGGTGTATGTCTATAAAAATATATTCATTCGACTGAGTACTGCAACACAAGTTGATTGATATTATTATCGCAATTGAATAATTCATATAAAGAACTTATAAATTGCTTCTGATTTATCATAGAATTAACATTTATTTATCAACGGAGTACATTGTTGATATCAATCAAAAAATGATCTATCAAACATCGAAATACTACTTCGGGATGTATTGAAAAATATTTACACAACTTAATTATGAACCTTAAATTCTCTACACGCACATGTGTATGCAATTTGTACATATTCTGCTTCTTTAAATATCAACGTAAATAAGGAATTTATTCTTTATTTTTACTAAAGTTAAATATTTAAACAGTAGGAATTTATTTCCTTATTCCAACTATACAAATACTTCAATATTCTATTATATATACTAATTGTTATCACAAAATAAATAGTAGATATCATCATCATTAACAGTAATATTGTTATTTGATAATTCTTCACACGTTAAATCCGATAATACGAGTAATTCTTATCATTTTTACAGCTTTATGCCGGGGGGTCTGCCGACGAGGAAGATCCCGGAGAAGTAGACATTGATAACACCGAATACGATTCGAATTACGATGATGATTCCTCGTCTTCATCTTCATCCTCTTCCTCTTCGTCCTCCTCTTCCTCGTCTTCAAACGATTATTCCAGTGACTATCATACTTCATCCGTAATTTCGAAGAACTCTGATTCTCCTAAAATAACTACTGCGACATTAATAAAAGTAACAACAAAAACACCAATACCATTAGCAACAACATCTAGATCAACGTCTAATAATTTGGAAACAACGTCTACACCAGATCCTGTTTCGGATAAAGCTATGGTTGAGTTTCTTGCTGCTTTAAGAAAAGCTAAGGCTGAGCAAGGTGAAAAATTAGAAAAGAATGTTCGACAAAATCATCGAAATTTTGAACGTGAACGTTTAAAAAACGTCGATGTTCTTGCTGACGATGACAATGACGATGACGACGACGACGACGACGACGACGACGACAACGATGATGATGACTACGACGACGACTACGACAACAACGAGACAAATGACAATTCTGACGTTGTTAATTTGAATCCTATTAAAAAAAAAAGATCGATTAAAGAGGAAAATATTTCGGATGATGTCATTTTGAATAGGACTTCTCGACAAAGAAATCATATGAAAAAATTGGCTTCCTCGAGACGTCATTTTCATAACAACGAAGAATCTGAAAAAGTTGCGAACAATGATCGCGATCAGTTTAGGTATGTCATCATTTTATTTATCAATATTCTTTGTATTTCTTATTTATAATTAAAGACGTTAAAAAATCATATCTATTATTGTTTTTATTTTTTTTTATTTTCTTTATTATTATATGTAATATAATATACGTTTATCCAATTTATATTTTCAGATCAATCGCTTCCTTGGAAAGACATCCTCCAAAGAAATTTAACTCCCACTCGCATCCGTCTGAAACGACTCGGGCATTTCCTTCGAGCCGTTACGATGACGATAATTTAAGCGACGAAATTGCTCGATCAACTCTGCATCTTGATGAAAGAGGAAAAGATTACGCAGACCTAAACAAATGGAAACCATCCTATGACAATATGGTAAATTGAAAACAAAAAATATAAACAATATTTTTCAGTTCTTATTGACAGTATTCAATTGTTAATTATACAATCACATTTTTCTTATTATTTATAGGAAAGTTCAAACGTTTCCGGAGGAATACGTCGAGTTGTTAATAGACGTCACTTACGAACACCTCGTCAAATTTTTGCAGTACATTACGGGGCAGATAGTACACTTTTCTCTCAAGACGATGAACATACCGGCAATGGTCGAGGTCGTCACGGGAATGGTATCTTCAAAGCTTGGAAACCAAGTGATTGGGTTTCGGATTTAGGCATGAGTAAATATTTTACTTTAGCTAATGATGGTAAACTTACTGTTCACGAGACTGGATTATATTTGATTTATGCACAAATTCATTATCTCGATGAGCACGATGAAAATGGTTTCAAATTATTGGTAAACAGTAGACCATTATTTCAATGCACGGTAAGAATTATACTAACGAACAATTTGATTGATTATCTCATTTTTTAATTTGTTAGATTCTTGGATTTTTGTTTAGATTTTCAGTCCAACAAGTGGCCACAAAAGTCGATCTTGTTTTTCGGCTCAAATAACTTTTCTTCAAGCTGGAGATGTTTTGGTTCTTAAAGACGTTGCTGGTGACAGATATACACTTTTCCAATACGATAAGAGTTTCTTCGGTTTGGTAAAATTAGGAGAATCCAGACAACAAAGGCACCCCCCGTCTACGCAATTACCGTTATAGTGATTGGTTCGTCTTATCATAGTATATTAGCATAATATTTAGATGAATACAAATCAACAGAAAAAAAGGTAATGTACATATAGATTTAATATTTTATTGTTTTTCTATTCTTTTTTTCGTCCTTTTTTAACGCTTTATTTTTACGTACACACGTATTTTAAAACTTTTCGACAGTGTTTAAATCAAATAAATATTTGATGTTATTTTAAATAATAATTACCACGTCGTTATTATATCATAGAGCTTTAATTAAATAGCCTTGCGATAATTAAACCAAACGCAATGATGCATATGAATGTAAATAATATTTTATATTTTGTTATTAAAATAAATAATACATAAATAGAACCAAATTATAATATTATTAAAATATGAATCTCACGTTATCAAGATGAACACGTCAAATCGCAAATCATTTCTTTAATTTTATATGATTTAGCTAATTCACTATCAATTGGTATAAATCTTCCAGGTTTTTCTATCAAATCTACTATAAAATTAGGTTTCAATAATTTCGTTGGCAAAATTGGTTGTCGTAATTTCCATGGTACAAACATATTATTTACACTATGAACTTCTGAAAATATTTTTCTCGACAACGATTGAGTTTCTTCGGATGATGAGATACGTCTTACGATCCAATCGGTACACGGTTCTTCACTCATTAAATATTCGGTAAAACAAGTGTCTTCGTTAGGTACGTCAATCTACAAAAATTAATACAAATAAAAATACAAATAAAAATACAAATAAAAATACAAATAAAAATCAAAATAAAATAAAAATATGAATATACTTGTGGTATAGCAATCTCAACCCAAGCTGTTCCGTATTCCCCTCGTACCAAAGCGGTTGGAAGACATATTCTATCAGCTAATACTTTAAAAAGTATTGCTCTTTCTAAATAAGAACCGACACGCAATTGTCCGAGAGGAATCACGCTCGTTCCTATGGATTCTTTGATCTCTCTTAAGTGGACTTCTAATTGATGATCTACGCATGTGCTTGTTGGGTCAGGTCCTGACATTTGACGTGCAACGAACTCGGCCAACATTTTTGCACGCGAAGCAATTGCACAAATATTTATTAAATTAGGTTCCTCATTAATTATTCTATAACATATAAATAAAAAACATAAATAGGATTATGTACTAGGTGTCCTAATAAAAAAAATAATACTACAGACCACAGTAATATTTTACAATCATACTCACGAATCTTTTGATTCCATTGCTACCAATTTGCATTTTAAAAGTTCGATGTAATCACAAAGATGTGGATCTAATTGCAATCGACCGAACATTAATTCCAACCAACCGTTTATAGCTTCGGCCGAAAGATATACTCCTTTCGAAGCGTTACCATTTTGAATTGAATTTCTAGCTTCTATAAATCAATATTAGAGATAAGATTTGTAAAAAAAACTGATATATTATAAACAATATATTATACCATCTATGTCTTTTTCGTTTATCATATCATTTGAAGAATTAGACTGTGAGGTGTTTATTACGTAAACGGGTTCCAAAGGACAAAATTTGAAACGAAATATATCATTTAGTACAGGAAATCTAAACAAAATATTTTTACATAAGATCGAAAATAAATCTTGTTTATTTATTTTCTAATCAATGTGCAGTAACGATCGTTGTAAACATACGGACAAATGTTTTGTCGTAAAACGTAAAAACCATCTTGAGTGATATCGTGTAACGAAAGTCGTCCGGTGAATGCAAATTTAGCTGGTAAATGAGAATTGAAAAGGGTTTCTATGCAGGTATCCCATGAAGGTATAATTCTTGCGGATGCACGATTATTTAACATGCTAAATAATTGTTGTTATTTGTATTATACAATTTAATTTTAGAATATATTTCAAACGTGATTAACTTACTATGATAAATATTTAGTTTTTACGAAAACATTTGCCAAAACTGGATCGACGCATAACAATTGAACCAATTGAACTGCTGCATTTCTTATCGGGATAGAATGTACATCTGATAATAAATGATGTAATCTAGATGGACCGTGAATTTTAAGAAATGCATCCCTTCCAATTTCATCAATACAAAACATTGAAAGAGCTTGACAACAAAGTATTTTGAATTTGTCCATAGTTGGACAATCTATCTAATGAATTTAAAAAAAGAACGATAATTTATTTAATATATTAATTTAAAATATTTATTAATAATATCATTTAAATATTTAGAATATGATAAAGATAAACATGCCTCGAATGGTGTACACAAAGCATCTATGGTATCGATATTAATTACTGAATTTCTCAATGTTGAATGACGTGCTATAGTAATTAATGCTTGAACAGCTATCAATTGAGTTTCTAATAGTTTTTTTTCATAAGGTTGTTTGATTAATAATATTAAATATTGCTAGAAATAACAAAATTTATCATTGTTACTTTTAATTCACTTTTTGAGAAGATAACATTTTATTTATTTTTTATTATCATTCTTATATACTTCGCCATGAAATTTCAAGAAATGTTTACAATTGTCGACATTGCAATTGAATAATTCATTAAGTGCAAACATTGCTGCATTTCTCACATCCCATGTTAAATGATCGTTCTTTAATATATCTGAGAAAAGATGTAAGTAAATTTCACGATAAAAAGCTTCAAACTTTATTATGAAAAGCATACCTAAAATGCCTTGAATAATATTTTCTGTAGATAATTTTTCAGCAGCGGGACCATATAAAACCATTTTACCAATCCCATAACAAATGGTATAATACATATCAGGTAATACAGTCTCTTGTAACGTATTAATCAGATGATCAATAATTCCATACATATACAATGACTTTAATAAAATGAAAAAGTTAAAATAGTATCTCTTAATAGACAATAAATGTAGAAAAGTAAGAAACCTTTCTGCCAACAGGAATATCAGCAAGATGAATAATAACATCAAAAGCATCTGCAAACAATTTGGAATTTACTGTATTCTTCATATATTTATAAATCTTTTGAATACCACCAATACTATCCAATAATTCGACCGTCTTATGATTATCCGAGGCCAGACTGAGTAATTTCAATACTTCGGAGTGTAAATCATGCCAATTGTCATTCTAGACGAATTACATGACACTACTAACAGCTATATAATTGTTCTACAGAAATTTCTTACATCCAAATAATTTAATAATGCTTCTAAACCATTAGTTTCTCGAAAAATATTCTGCATATACTCATCCTTGTTTCTTGCCAATAGATCACCTATTACGTTCAAAGCTAATCGTTGAATCTCTGGATAAGGTTCTTCCAAAAGTCGATAAATCAAAGGAAAATTAAATTCCTATAATATACAAATATTTATTTTATAATACTATACTATTATTTAAAAATATTTCAATTGCATTAATATATATATATATATATTTGTAATAACTTGAGCGTTGATAATCTTTTGCGCGCCTATTGGATCTTGTATCAAATTGTATATTATTTCTATATTATTTTTCTTAACATCAGGATCTGTCGATTGAATTCTTTCATAAAGAAAATTCATATTCGGACATTGTTCTAACAATTGAGCAACCCCATAAATATCCTTGGATAATTCAGCGAGTATCAGAGAAGAAAATTCTTGCATGAATAAGTCCCTTTCATTGATTAATACTTTTGCGAAGTGAGGTATGTAATAATTGGATTCCAATAAAAAATTTCTGACACATGGTATTGCTGTCATTTCAGCCAATAATTTTGCAGCGAATCTGTATTGTTATTATAAATATATGAATATTATTATACTTTGAAATATTGATTTTTTTTCTATATATATATATATATATATTCTACGAAATGAAATAGTAAACCTTCGTGTGAATAAATCTTCATGATTAATCAGAGGTATTATACTTTTGACGATATCAAGATCAAAAAGTATCTGTATATTTTCTTGAGATTTTGTAGCGTATTTGGAAAGTGCAGCCGCTGCATTTAAAAGAATCGTATTTTCCTGACATTGTAAAAGTAATATAGCTGTATCAGGATATTTCACTTCGAGATGTATAGGATCAAATGTATATTTCGATTTCTCACCACGATCTTCTCTTTTTCGGCCTGTCGATAAAGGTTCCTAAATAACGAAACCAAATTACAATAATTAATATAAATATGATATCCATACTAATATATTTTTATTGAATATGTATACTCTGAGTTACAGCTCACCTCTGTATCTGTAGAATCCATTTGAACAAATCAAATTAAATTTTAAACATATAAAATGAAATTCAATTTGTAATTTTCATATTCACTATGTTAGATTAGAAAGTTAAATGTGAGCATTAAAAAGAACAAGAAAAAGTTTTCTAATCGTCATATGTTCTAAAAAAAAAAAACAAATGAAAGTCCATTCATTGGTTTAGAAAAATTGGATGTATTTAAATATTTGAAAAAATAGCGGCTTTATAATTCGGCGCATACGCAGTAATCGTAAAAGTGACTACATATTTGAATGAGTTTCTATGTCCTCTCATCTTTCGGTACAGTAAAAAAACTTATTAGTTTTTATCAATTTTATTCAATTTGTTTGACATTCTTTTATTGTATTACTTATTTTACATTTCATTTTTATTCTATTTTATATTTTTCTATCTGTTTGTATATAAATTATGAAACAATCCTAGTATACAAAATTAAAATAAAATGAAAAACATGTTCATAAATATATATATATATATATATATATGTCTTATTAATACTTTTGTTCATAGGCAACAAGAAAAATCTTCCAACGTAAATATATACTTATCAATATTACAATACGTAATGTCAATAGTAATGAGATCGCTAATGGTAAAATAATGATTATATTAATCATGAAGTTATTTGTTGAATTAAAAAATATAAATAAAATATTTATGAAAATTATTTGAATAGACTATCATCTAGTAATCTATGTTTTCTTTTTTTTGTATGTGTAATGAATGCATTACACTTTTACATCGAAGGCAGTATACATTTTAATAAAAATCTTTGTTAAACGTATAAGATTAACTATGATATAAATAATGCATTTGTGATAGGTACCTTGAGTCAAAATGTGTACGTGGTAAGTGTACTACTTGTTCTTTAAATAATTAACATAATCAACTTATTTTAAATAGTAAAATCATTTGAAATATATCTCTAAGAATACTATACAAAATTATTCAACATATATTATCATATGTATCTTTTTTTTAATACTTATTTCTATTAAATGAAAAAATATATAATTTAAACATAGCACATGTAATGAAAGATGAATAAAAGTCATCGTGTTTGCAATATTGCAGTATATATAAATATATCTGACGCTTAATCTATTATATATATATATTACAAATAAAAATCTCATTTGAGTGGTAAAAGTAAACTCTAGTAAAAAAAAAAAAAAATCTTTATATATCGTAAGGCACCAATCTTATTAGTATCGAATAAAATTCTAATGAACTTTGATTGATATACTAGAAGAAATTGTTTTTTTTTTTATCCAAAGTTTGTACAATCTTCTGTTTGCTTTCTTAATGTGAGGTATATTTAAATGATAAATTTTATTATGTTCTATAACGAATAAAATTTCTTTATAAAATCAATAATCTTTTTTTTACAAAATAGAAATATTTCAATAATTATTATTGGACATAAATGATTACGTCCATATAATTAGGCTGAAGTACCTTTTGATATATACATCGTACCAGAATCTACATATATTTTTCTACATTTCTAAAATATAGTGGACGGATAAATTGCAGTCAAAATAATGATATTTTTCTGCAAAGTGTATATAAAATACTGCATCTTACTAAATAATGGTAATACGATTATAATTAATCTTTTGATTCTCTAAGGAATGTCTCGTATCTGATAAAATTTTCAATCATTCTTATCAAGTACCATAATTTGATGTTAGAACCTTTATCAAAAGTATTCACTTTTAGCTATTATTACATTTGAGAAGGTTCTTATGGCACATCATGCGTCTTCATATTTCCAAATAATATTTCTTGAATTTTGTAAATATCCTGAATTTTGAATTCAAAGATTAAACATATTATAATATGTTTAAAACCGATATTGTCAAAACTAATCTGGTTAAACGGCTGTTTGTGGTACACCTTGTACCAAATGCGTTTTACTTTTACTTTTAGGCAGTGTAGATTGACTCGCAGCTTTATTGAGCTTAGGCTTACCATTTGGTGAACTCGTAACAAATCCTTCCGATCGCATATCTTTTAAAGATACATTTGAATTACTTCTTAACGATGGCGTAGAACTAAATTTTCTATTGTGCGCTAAACGTTCTTGTAATCTAGTTTCATTTTGTCGTGGTACTCTTGTTTTTGGCGGTAAATCTCTATACTCGTAAATATTTTCTTTGGAAGCACGATTCAAATTCTCAATTCCTTCCGATGAATGTTCATCCTCTCGTATCATCAAGATGTCTCCGCTATAGTAGTGATCAGATTGTCTGTAAGATTAAATTGTAAATTTAATTTATGTATATCACACTTTTAATATATATTATAAAACTTAATTTTACTAATTCTAAAAAGATTTATTTTACAACAGTGATATAAATACTAATACTATGTAAACCAATGCATAAGCAAACCAAATTTACAATGTCATGCACAATTTTAGATTTTTTAAATTACCTGCACACATCCTGGCAGCTAATGTTTTGCTGCATTAACATATCGTAAATAAGGATAGTGTTAATAATGTGAATTATACAATTAATAGTGAAATATAATAATTTCAAATATGTACATAAGAATTTGATAAAACTGTGCACAATATTATTATATTTAATGATATATGTATATTGTTAATGTGTAATTAATAAATACCAGAACCCATTACCCCATGCACTACAAATCTATGGAGTTTACGTCACCCAGTCAAATGTAGTCACATGGATTAGGTTCTGTTTACCTTTTCTTACCTTTTGGCATTACGCCAAAGCATACAGCAAACTACTGAGACTACTATCAGTAATAAACAAGCAGTTGACATCGACCAAAATGCAATTTGCAAAGGTTGCTTAGGCTCCCACCAGTACTAAAATTGAAATTAATTTATAATATACATATATATGCAATTTCATACATAGAGATATTTTTGTATATTATTAAATTATTATAAGTACCTCAGTAACAGGTGGATACGTTGGAACAAGTCTACCGATAACCGTTGGTAAATACATTGACCAAAATGCACTTTCAGTTTGACGATAATTTATCAAAATTGAACTGTTGAATGTTGTGTTAATATTTAGATATTTCAATTGACCATATTTAGCAACGTCGAAGTGTAATCCCAAAATCTGTGAAGGAGTTGGATGTCTGAAACAGTATATAAGAAAATTAACTTCGAAACATGCATGTACATTGTTTTGTGAAAAGTAATGGATATACGTACCCATATCGTGCAAAATTAGAATATGCCTTCAAAAAGAATCGACTCATATTACGATCACTATCAGTCCACATATCCCTTTTTAGTCTCCATTTCTCAGGGAAAAATTCTACATTTAAAAAAATTAGAATTAGTATACTATTACAAAAATAATTTAACGATTACGTATACATACACGTACCAACATCCATAAAAGGTGCACCAGTTAGCCAAAGTAATTCCGTATCATGAGGTACTCGTCTCCAGTGTGGCAGTCTAAAGGCTTCTGTAGTCGTATTTAAAACATACAAGTAAGTAGGCACGTGTTTTTCTACTAATAATTTAGCTATTTTATCAAAAGGTGCAACATAATGAAAATCAGATAAAAGCTGAAATATAATTCAAATAAAATAACATATTAGTGACACACATACATGTACCAAAAATTAAATCTAATTATTATTATTAGATACATACATTTACATATTGATCACGAATGTGTGTGACATTTAATGGATCTGGCCAATACGTATACATGTATTTTATAGCTTCATAAACACCTTGCGGATTAAGAGTGTAATTATAACGTAGGACTAATTCCCAAACTTTTTGATCGAACAATTCTTTATCTATTATATAATCGTTTCTGGCCAAAGTTTCATTGTTATCTAAAATTTAATACATATATAATAATATTATGAATAACGTTTAAAAGAGAGACAGATCATTGATATAATCAAAATAAAAATGTAAATTACATAAAATATAAGCTGCTTCTTGAGTAGTAACACCTGCCATATATTCAAAACCTTCTTTAAATTTTCCAGCTTTGATACTTTCTTCAGGAGTTTCTGCAAAGAAACGCCAATCGGAAGCTTTCCAATCTATGTATAAATTATCACGTGGTACTGTAAAATTAATATCTAATACAGGAGCCCACGGAAACATTCCTACGTGTGGCTTTAATTCAGAGTTTCCCAATTCAAAGAAATTACGACCATCTTTCAAACATTGCACTAATTTCCAGCTGCTCTCTATACTACAACCAAGCATTTCTGCATAAACTCTTGATGTGTTTTGTGCTCTATATTTATCCATTATTACTGCCCAATCGGCTAACGCTGAGCCCGATTGTGCAATAACTTTTGAAACCATATGTCGTGTTCTATAATAAAAGCAAATATTGAAATACAATTTTATATAACAAGAAAAGTTAATAGTTATGAAAATTACCTAGGTGCTACCATCAATAAACCTGCACTAGCTGCACCAGCGCCAGGTCCAAACAATGTTATAGAATCAGGATTACCATTAAAATGACCAA